GTGAGTCAGAAACATGGGCTTCTCCAAATTCTGCTGTGCTATTGCTCTGAGACTCTGAGCAAAACCCTGCCTCTCCCTACACTCCAGTCTCTTCATCTGTGAAATAGAGGGAGGTGGATTAGATCCATGTTTTCAAAGTATGGTCCAAGGAACCCTAGAGGTTCTGTGGATGCCTGAAGGAGAAAGCGCACACCACACTCATGAGGGTGATGCTGCTGGAGAGGGTGTGAGGAATGCTTCTATACGTTAGGAGTTACAATACCAGGATTTATTTTTTAAAAAGCAAAAGGCAATGCAAAAACGATGACGTAATAATTGCAAATTCTGCACCATGGAAACGTTAAGTACTTATTGTATTGTTTGTATTTTTCCAGGTCTTAAATTTCTCAAACAAAAAAGCAATTAAAGCAGGAGCAGGTCTTGACCTAGTAGCGAGTATAGAACACTGACCTCCCACCCCCAGTACGTGCATATTTTACATATAAAAGTAATAATTTCTTTATTTTGCATAAATGATATCCTATTTGTGATATCGCTTGTCAACTTACTTTTTTACTTAACAGAAGTTCTTGCCCTCTATTGTGTGTATGTGCATATGTGTGTGTGCACATATGTGTTTCCAATGAACTAAGAATATTTCAGCTGAGCGCTGTGGCTCATGCCGATAATCCCAGCACTTTGGGAGGCCAAGGCAGGCAAATCAGGAAGTCAAGAGATCAAGACCATCCTGGCCAATATGGTAAAACCCTGTCTCTACTAAAAATACAAAAATTAGCTGGGCATGGTGGCACACTCCAGGAAGGAGAGGCTGGGAGGCTGAGGCAGGAGAATCACTTGAACCCGGGATGTGGAGGCTGCAGTGAGATGAGATTGTGCCACTGTACTCCAGCCTGGAGACAGAGTGAGACTCCATGTCAAAAAAAAAAAAAAGTATTTCATGACACAGATATACCATCGCTGTTTTAACCATTCCATTATTGACAGAAATTCATTTTGTTCCCTGTTTTTCACTGTTACGATACTCCAGTGAACATCTTTCAACATCCCAGGGCAAAGGAACTGCAGAACGTTGACCAGACACCGATTTCCTCATCCCCAGGCCTGGCATCATAGTCATGAGTGACTATTAGCAAATGGCCAATGTTCTTAAGTTTCACACACTTGCATTCCACAACACAGAATCAAAAACCGGTTGCTGGATAATCCTGAATAATTTCCCCCAGGCAATTATCAGCTGTCTCAAGGCACTTAAGGAGAAAAACTAGAATCTAAGCTATGCCAAGAAAGGAACAGCCCAAGTAAACATCCCAGGATCTCAGCTTGGAACCCTGGAGTGCAACACCCCAGGAGTATTGTCAATCCAAAGATAGACACAGTCTTGTTTACCATGAGTGAACTCCACCTCAAGTGGGTTCAGCCCCTTATTGAACGGAGGTGATCTACTTGCATGATAGCTGTTTACCAGAGAAAGTGGTGAATCCTCTCTGCAGCAAAATAACATCACCCTGAGCTGCTACAATGTTTTATATCAGTGCTCAGTAACTCACTGAAATGTTGTTCAGGTATATCAAGAAACTGAACCAAAAGAAAAAATAAACAATAGAAACAGACCCACAGATGACCTAGATATTGGAGTTATCAAATATGGACTTAAAAAATTATATCAGTGGCAAGGTAGAAAATAGCACTGGAGAGCTGAAAATTTTTTTAAAACATCAAATGGAAGCCGGGCGCGGTGGCTCAAGCCTGTAATCCCAGCACTTTGGGAGGCCGAGGCGGGTGGATCACGAGGTCAAGAGATCGAGACCATCTTGGTCAACATAGTGAAATCCCATCTCTACTAAAAATACAAAAAATTAGCTGGGCATGGTGGCCTGTGCCTGTAATCCCAGCTACTCGGGAGGCTGAGGCAGGAGAATTGCCTGAACCCAGGAGGCAGAGGTTGCGGTGAGCCAAGATCGTGCCATTGCACTCCAGCCTGGGCAACAAGAGCAAAACTCCGTCTCAAAAAAAAAAAAAAAAAAAAAAAAAAAAAAAAAATCAAATGGTAGATTTAACAGCTGTTGGGACATAGTAAAAGGCAAGGTTAATGAACCTGCAGTTAGCTCCATAGAAAATATTCAGACTACAGCATAAAAAGAGAAAAAAAAAAAAAAGGAAGAAAGCATAACAAATGAAACTGTGATACAGTGAAAAGGTCTAAGTGTACCTGGAGCACCAGAAAGGGAAGAGAGATAAAATGGTACACGTGAATATTTAAAGAGGAAAGAGCCCAGAATTTTCAAAAGCTGACATTGAGTAACATTCAAGAAGAAATACAAACACTAAGTTAGAAAATATAGAGAAAACCACATTTAGGTACATGCACAGCAAAACTGCTGAAAACCAAAGACAAAGAGAAAATATTTAAAGCAGGCAGAGAAAAATGCACATTTCCTTCAAAGAAGACAAGACCTTAGGGAATATTATTCACATGACATCTTCCTGAAGCACATGTTAGACAACAGTCTACAGTCAAACAAGAGGTGATAGGAAAACTTCAGGCAAAGGACTGGTGGAGAGCCTTAAATAGATGTCATCATAAAACTGAGAATGAAAACTAAGGTAGACATAAAAGCAAAAAATAACACATAAATGTTACATATCCTAACCATGTAGAAATAATGGAACAAACTGACAATGGGAAGAGAATGGGAAAAGGAGGTGGAAATTAGAATAAGCTCCCTAATTTCTTAATGTCTTACAGCTGGGAATAAAAATGCATCTAAAGTCGACAATTCAAATTACAGAAACTAATGTACATTTAAAAGAACAAAGGGAAATAACTAGAAAGCTAATACCAGTGACTAAAATTAGCAGAAGAGGAAATAAGAAATAAGGGTAGGAATCAGGGATATAGGAAAGACAGTAATAAAATGCCTGTAATCCCAGCAATTTGGGAGGCTGAGGCCAGCAAATCATGAGGTCAGGAGATCAAGACCATCCTGGCTAACAGGGTGAAATATTTTCTCTCCTAAAAACAGAAAAAATTAGCTGGGCATGGTGGCACATGCCTGTGGTCCCAGCTCCTTAGGAAGCTGAGGCAGAAGAATCACTAAAACCCTGGAAGCGGAGGTTGCAGTGAGCCGAGATCGCATCACTGCACTCCAGCCAGGGCGACAGATTGAGACTCTGTCTCAAAAACAAAAAAGAAATAAAGAAAATAAAAATAAAAGTAAATAAAATGAGTATATTAATCACAACACTCTGCTTCCAAGGCCAAAAAAGAGAGATACCAAAAACTCAATAGAAAAATAGATAAAAAATATTAACAGAGAGTTCACAAAAAAGGAAGAACAAATGAATCTTGTTTGTTGTTGTTGTTGTTGTTGTTGTTGTTGTTGTTGCTGTTGTTTTGAGACAGAGTTTCACTCTTGTTACCCAGGCTGGAGTGCAATGGCGTGATCTCGGCTCACCACAACCTCCGCCTCCTGGGTTCAGGCAATTCTCCTGCCTCAGCCTCCTGAGTAGCTGGGATTACAGGCACGCACCACTATGCCCAGCTAATTTTTTGTATTTTTTAGTAGAGACGGGGTTTCACCATGTTGACCAGGATGGTCTCGATCTTTTGACCTCGTGATCCACCCGCCTCGGCCTCCCAAAGTGCTGGGATTACAGGCTTGAGCCACGGCGCCCGGCTGAACAAATGAATCTTAAACACATGCAAAGATGCTTAACTTCATTAAGATAAATGAAAATTACTCTGAGAGCGGCAAGGGTGTATGCATTCATAAAATCTCAAAAATGATGAATTTAATATTTGTACCTTTCACTGCATGTAAATTTTGCCTTTTAAGAAATCTATAAACAAATATTGAATTCTAGTTCATAATACACATGCTGAAGTGGTTTGCAGTGAAGTGTACTCATGTTTGCATCTTACTTTGAAATGAATTCAAAAAATAAAAAGGATGGATAGGTACATAAATTCGAAATTTTTTAAATGCAGCAAAATGTTAACAACTATAGAATCTAGGTGGTGGGTATATATGTGTTTACTGTATAATTCTTTCAACTTCTCTGTGTGTTTGAAAATGTTTGTTTTAAGATGTTAAGAAAAAAATGCTTCTAGATAACAAATTTTTTCAAATTGGCAAAAATAAAGGATAGCTCTGTTTTCAAGATTGTGGGCCAGGTATGGTGGCTCATGCCCGTAATCCCAGCACTTTGGGAGGCTGAGGCAGGTGGATCACGAGGTCAGGAGATTGAGACCATCCTGGCTAACACGGTGAAACCCCATCTCTACTAAAAATACAAAAAAATTACTTGGGGGTGGTGGCATGCGCCTGTAGTCCCAGCTACTCAGGAGGCTGAGGAGAATCTCTTGAACTCGGGAGGTGGAGGTTACAGTGAGCCGAGATTACACCACTGCACTCCAGCCTGGCTACAGAGAAAGACTTCTCAAAAAAAAAAAAAAAGGTCAAAACAGTAGATTTTATGTTATGTGTTATGTGTATGCAGCCACATTTTTTTTAAAGCTTATATGTGTGTGTTGTGTGAGTGTGTGTATTTTTCTTTTTTTCTTTTTTTTGGGCGGGAGACAAAGTCTCACTCTGTCACCCAGGCTGGAGTGCAATGGCGCGATCTTGGCTCACCGCAACCTCCACCTCCTGGATTCAAGCGATTCTCCTGCCTCAGCCTCCTGAACAGCTGAGATTACAGGCATGCACCACCATGCCTGGCTAAATTTTTTTGTATTTTTTGTAGAGACGGGATTTTGCCATGCTGGTCTCAAACTCCTGAGCTCAAACAGTCCTCCCACCTCAGCCTCTCAAAGCTCTGGGATTACAGGTATGAAAGTTGTTGTATTTTAAAAAGAGAGAAGAAATCAGCATCAAACGACAGAGTGTGGCAGCTCCCACCTCCATGCCCAGGGAGGAGCTGCCTAGTCCAGTCCGGATCCAGTCTGGAGCTGGGCACCTCAGGAAATAACTAGTCTTCTTTGTCCCTTTCTATTCCAGTCACACTCCAGTGCCCCCGCCAGCCAGCACAGAGCCTGCTCTCAGTGAAAGGCCACTGCTGTCCTTGGGCGACCCCCACAATGCCTGACCGCTCCCCGTGCCTCCTGGAACAGCCAGGGTCCTTATGAAGTGGTGACCACTCCAGTCAGCAGGTCAGTGTCCCCGAGCGTGGTGAGGGCTGAGACAAGGTCTAAGAGAGGGGAAGCCGTGGTTGACTGTGGTTCCAGAAATTCCCCAGCTAGCGGGCTCTAAGCTTGCACAGACAGGTATCTTCCTGAAGCTCCAGGCTGGGTAAGAAAGATGGAGCCACCCTAGAGGAGGTAGAGACATCTAGAGACCTAGGGTGTGGGACGTGGGACCTTGGGTACATCATTTCCCTGCTCCGTGCCTCAGTTTCCACATTTATCAAATGGGTTTATTGATGCCTGGGTAACTTGCTTCCAGGGCTCTCATGAGCTTTAAATAACAAACAGAACATGAAGCCAGTGTAGAGCTCAAGCACTCCACTAGTTCAGGGATAAGGATGGAGGTGAATGCTATGTGTGGGGAGAGGGAGCAGCAGACGTCCCTCCGCCTAAAGCTGTCCCTGGCAGCTGAACTTGGGGAGCTGCCTGCCCCCTCCCAGCCAGCTCCTCCAACTCCCAGTTCATTCAAAGGATGTACCGGCCGTCCACTGGAGCCAAGGACTGCATTTGGTCCTCACATCCCTGTGAAGGAGGTATAGTCACCTGTCCTCAGCGGGAAGGAAATCAGGACCCAGAGAAGCTGGCAAATCATCTCAAAATGAATGAACGATGTGTCAGTGTAGGCACTAGCGCTAGCTAGAGTCCTAGCGATGGTTAGAGCTGGGATTCTTCCGTGTGAGCTGGTCTTCCCATCACACTTAGAGTTTCCAGGCCCGGTGCTGGGCATCAGCAGAAGTCTCTGGAGAGTCCCTGTGAGTCCCTGCAGCAGGGAGGGGATATAGTCCCTTCAGGCTCTCACTCTGTTCTGTGACAGCAGCCCCTCCTCAGTCTGTTCCTCTGTGGTTTTCCATAACAGGTTTTATTTAAAATCTTTAGGTTCTTATGCTTTAAAAAACATAATAGACCAGGCACAGTGGTTCATGCCTGTAATCCCAGCGCTTTGAGAGGCCGAGGTAGGAGGATTGCTTGAGCCAGGCGTTTGAGGCTGCAGGGAGTTGTGATTGTGCCACTCCACTCTAGCCTGAGCAACGGAGTGAGACCCTGTGTGTAACATATATGCATATCTATAATAATTACCCAGTTTCTGAAATGCTTTCCGATCACCCTCAGATAGCGGCTTGGCTAAATGGAAAGCATTATTCTAACTGCCTTCCTGAAGGGGCCTCCATCCCCACCCAGCCCTCAGCCCCACCCTAGTCCTATGCCTGCTGGGACTCATCTGTCACCTCTCCCGCCCCAGCCTGGGGAGGCACTGGCTCGCCCTGCTAGAGACTCTGGTTACCTACAAGGCTTCAGGCTGTGACCATGTGAGTCCATATGTGCCCATCCCCCTACCCTCCTGCAGGGCGGGTTTGGGCAGCAAGCTCTGGGTGCAGGGTAGCAGATGAGAGGGAGCAGAGGTTGGCGCCCTGCAACCACCCCAGGCACGTGACCATGCCCTCCCTTCCCCACTGCCGTGGCTCTCTCTGCAGGGGTGGAAAATGGTACGGGTCAAGCCCGAGGCGGAGGAGGAGCAGCCCACAGCCGCTGCCACGAGATGGAGGAGCCCACGCCCGAGCCCGTCTATGTCGACGTGGACAAAGGGCTGACCTTGGCCTGCTTCGTCTTCCTCTGCCTCTTCCTTGTGGTCATGATCATCCGCTGTGCCAAGGTCATCATGGACCCTTACAGCGCCATCCCCACATCCACCTGGGAGGAGCAGCACCTGGATGACTGAGGCTAGGCGGGTGATGGACCTGGCGCTCTCTGGGTGGCAGTGCCCCAGGGTGCACCTCTGAGTCCCTTGCCAGCCTGCCATCCCACAGAGGAAGGAATGAATCTGACCACCCAGGGCAGGAGAAGGTGCAGCTTAGCCTTGCCCGCCCTCCCTGGAGCGCCAGCGTGGAATGCCCGGGTACCATGGGGGTTGCAACCACGGAGCAGCCAGGGAATAAAGGCCCTGGACCAGGGCCCAGGATGCTGGGGTTCCAGTGGGGGGAGTCACCGGCCCAGACTCCTGGGCACCTTTGGGAACCGGATCCAGAACAGATGCCCCACCCCCCGGCCCATCGCACAACAGTAGTCTCATCTTGAGGAGACTCTCTGTCCTTAAAATGCAAAGTAGCACATGGAGGCTGCCAGCCAAGAGGTCCCACATGAACCCCAGCCCCTCCCCGGGGCTATGGACTAGCAATGGAGCGGCAGTGAGGGGAAAAGCAGGTTGAGGGAGTCTCACCTGAAAACTCACAAAAGGCACAGGATATGGGCTGCTTCCAAGCAGTATTTTTTTAAACTATAGAGGGATATATTTTTCCTGTTATAAATAAAATGCACATTTTAGAAACTTGGAAAAATGCAGATAAATAGGAAGAAAGAGGGGAAATCACACTTATAATCCCACTTCCCAGAAACCACCATTTTGATATATTTTCTTCCAACCTTTTTACTTGTATTTTTTAGTCAAATTCATACTCTATGCATGACGTTGTGCCACCTCATATGATAGCATGAATGCTTCTCCATTACATCAAACGCTTTTCTTAGCTGCAAGTTTTCGTGACTGAAGCGTAGCCCATCGGCTGGGTAAGTCATGGTTAAACAATCACCTCCTTTGGTTGGACATTGAATTTTTTTTTGCCAATTTTTCTTCGCACAAAATTATTGCACCCAGTAAACTTTTTGAGGGTGCACAGTCTTCAAAAAGTTGGATGGATATTGAACGGGGAGACCTGGGTTCTGGTCCTGTGTTTACCAGTCAGGTTACTGCGTGACCTTGAGCAAGTCACTTCACCTCTCCGTGCCTCTGTTTCCTCATTGTAAGATAGGAAAAGCCTTGTCATCTTTAAAGTTTTATTTTTTGCCTATACCTCATGTGAACAAAAGGGAGGAAATGAGAGTGAATGTGCTATAAATGTGCCATAGTGGGGGTTGGGGGACAAGGAAGAAGTTGACGACGATGACTTCTCAAGCCCTCCCTCCTCCCACCTCTTTCTGCCCTCTCCCCGACTCGAAGTCCATCACCTACATCTGTGACCTTGCAGCAAGATTATTGGAGCAGAGCCTACAAAGCTGGTCCCAAGTCCCAATTCCTCTGCTTCCTTGTTATAGGACCCCAAATAACTCACTCAGCCTCTCTGAGCCCCAATTTCCTCATCTGTAAAGTGAGGGAATAATATCTACCTCACAAGGTTGTTGTGAGGATGAAATGAGAGAACACAAGCAAACATGAGTGTTCTTGAATTCACCACCCCAGGAGAAGCCAGGGTTCTGAGCTGGGAGGAGCAGAGGTTCCAGGTGCTCCCAGCCCCTACAGAGCCTGGAACCCTCAGCTTTCCTCAACTTCTGAGGGATGCTTCCTACAGGCCAAATCTCCCAGCCAGAATCACGTGGTCAGAGGAATACTCACAGCAGCCTTCCCCAGCCCCTGACTTCCAGGGATATGGTGTCTACTAATTTACATAATTCTCATTGTCATCAGTTTTCCCATAACATGATACGAAGTTAAACTGGAGCACCTGTGCTCCCGTTCCTCTGAGTGCATTTATTTATTTATTTATTTATTTATTTATTTATTTATTTTTGAGACGGAGTTTCGCTCTTGTTACCCAGGCTGGAGTGCAATGGCGCGATCTCGGCTCACCGCAACCTCCGCCTCCTGGGTTCAGGCGATTCTCCTGCCTCAGCCTCCTGAGTAGCTGGGATTACAGGCACGCGCCACCATGCCCAGCTGATTTTTTGTATTTTTAGTAGAGACAGGGTTTCACCATGTTGACCAGGATGGTCTCGATCTCTCGATCTCGTGATCCACCCGCCTCGGCCTCCCAAAGTGCTGGGATTACAGGCTTGAGCCACCGCGCCCGGCCTGAGTGCATTTATTTTATCCCTCCAAGGTGTGGCCTTCCATCCCCATCCAAGAGACCTGCAGCTGTGAAGAAGCTCAAGCCATCTTTCTCATGGTCTTCGTCCCAGCCATTAGTCCCCAGCACAGCCCAGACTACCTGGAAAACAGGTTTCCAAAGCACTGTCACTACGAGGTGACCCCCTGAATGTGGACAAGGCCACAGCTGTTCAGGCCACATTTCAGGGGCTATCCAGTTGTCATCCCTCTCCTACTCCCCACCCCCACTATTGTGAGATGTACAAAGGGACAGCTGGCAAAGGCAGTGAACCGAGATGCAGGCCCCACAGAAGAGAGAGGATCTAAAGCAAAACTCTTGTGCATTGCCTGGGGTTCAGCCGCAGCAGCCCTCACTCTGAAGCCTACCTTTGAGGTGCCAGGCGCTTCTGTGAAAAGCTCATCAGCATGTATTTCCAACGTAAACTAGAACCAACTCCCAGTCAGCTAATAACAGACCTCAGGAAAAAGAAAAGGTCTTGCAGACCTCCCCTGGGCACACTTTAGAACCCTCAGCGGTGAAAAAGAGGGTGTTCCAGGGCAGTGCTACTCAAACCGTGGTTGAAGGACAAACAGCCTCTGCAATATTTGAGGAGCTTGTTAGAAATCCAAACTCACGGCCCCCTCCAGGCCTACGTACAGAATGTACATTAACAAGATTCCCTTGGTGGTTCATACGCACATTAAAGATTAATAGGCACTGCCTGAGAATTCCTTGCTCCTTATTAATTCTTTTCTACACTCAGATTTGCTAATACTTTTCACCTTATCTCTTGATTCATTTGATGGCAACAGAAATAGTAACATTTCAGGAAAGGTGGGAATATGAAAAGCACTCCCATCATCCCAAGCCTCCAAAAAACAGCAGTTTTCATTTTGTGTCCATATATTCCCTTCTAATCAGTCCTCAAGCAAGATTTTTTTTCATAAAAGCCATCTGTTATATAACTTTCTATCATACTGTTTCTCCAAACATTACATCACGAGTATACTTTCTTTTTTTTTTTTTTTTTTTTTTTTACCTTTTTATTTTTATTTATTTTTTTTTGAGATGGAGTTTCACTCTTGTTGTCCAGGCTGGAGTGCAATGGCACAATCTCGGCTCACCGCAACCTCCACCTTCTGGGTTCAGGCAATTCTCCTGCCTCATCCTCCTGAGTAGCTGGGATTATAGGCACGTGCCACCATGCCCAGCTAATTTTTTGTATTTTTAGTAGAGACGGGGTTTCACCATGTTGACCGGGATGGTCTTGATCTCTTGACCTTGTGATCTACCCGCCTCGGCCTCCCGAAGTGCTGGGATTACAGGCTTAAGCCACTGCATCCGGCCGACCTTTTTATTTTTTGAGACAGGGTTTCACTCTGTCGGCCATGCTGGAGTGCAGTGGCGCAAAGCACAGCTCACTGCAGCCTCTATCTACCAGGCTCAAGTGATCCTCCCATTTCAGCCTCCCAAGTAGCTGGGATTACAGATGCACACCACCATGTCCAGCTACCTTTTTGTAGTTTTTGTAGAGATAGTTTTGCCAGTTGCCCAGGCTGATCTCAAACTCCTGGGCCCAAGCCATCCTCCCACCTCAGCCTCCCAAAGTGCTAGGATTATAGGCGCCTGCCATGATGCCTGGCCCAGAAAAAACTTTTGTACCTGAATCAGGTATGCTGCCACCATAGTGGCACTCCTGGAACGCCCAGCCTTACAATGTACGTAGACACATTGACCCAGCGACTGGTACTTGAGAGCAAATTGGACTCCCTTCTGGAGGTTGGCCAAAGTGGGGATCCCAGTCATGTCTACTGTGCTGAGCCGCAGCTGCTCGACTCCTAGTCTCTTCCACTCCTGTGAAGAGTTGCACAGGAATCTTGTCTCATATTCCTCGTTCATGGTGATCACCCCGCGCACGTTCTCGTCCTGTACCAGCTGCCGAGGCAAAGAGGTGGCTCAACAAGGATGGCGCAGGCCCCAGCGGCCCGATAGGGATGGCGCGGCGGGGACTGGGCAGGGACCCGGGCTCCCCAGCCCGGCTCACCTGGCGCGTCATGTTCCGCAACGGCAGCGCGCCCAGCAGCACTGTAGGGTCGATGCGGTGGTACCAGTCCCTGTGCGCCCGACCCGGCACCTTTCCCCGGAACAGGGTGTAGAGCAGCGTCGGGTAGAAGAGCACCCGCGCCAGGCCGGCCTGCAGCAGCGCGGTGGCCGCCGCCATCCCGCCCCACCCGGCCCGGCGCCGCCACGAGTATACTTTCATGTTGCTGTCACATCATTCACACTTGTCATCTTAATGGTCATAAAACACATTTAGTGCACATATACAGTTATGTAGACTCCTATTATTAAATACTTGGATTTCTTTCATTTTCCCTGTTATACATGTTCCAACCAAAAAGGAAAGGTCAAGATAGATATGATAACCCTGGGAGCTTGCTTAGGACAGGGGAGAGTAGATATTTACAGTACACTCCCTCTATCTAAGAGACACATGGAGCAGGTCGGGGAGGGAGACCGTCTAAGAACTGGACCGTATTAAGGAGAAAAAAGCAACGGGAATCTCATGCTCAGTTGTTGGATGGGAGGCCCATGGAGTTGGCCACAACCCAGGACTTAAAGAGAACACAGTCTGGAGAGGAACTCTCCAAAGCAGAGAACGGGTGGTGGGTTTTCCAGGCGATGGTGTCTAGTGGCCAGTTTTAAGTTGCTGCTTGTACTGTGCTCAGCCACACTCCCTTCACGTCACCCCAAGCCCTCTCTAAAGTCTGATATACGATCCGCTCTGCAGCAGTGGTATTTGGGACAATGGAAGGCACCTCAGTGGCAGGTCATGTGGGGAAATACAATCTGGGAGGGGCCAGCAGCCCCAGAGACAAGCGGGGTGGCAGAAATATGCAGAACCAGGAGTTCAGAATGATGGTCCTTAGAAGAAATATGGCCCCTAAGGATGCTCAGAGAGGTGGATATGCATAGTGGGACCCTAGCTGTACCATCCTGGCATGTCATTCCCATCATAGCTATTTCACTTTTTCCAATTAGTTGATTGAATGTTGACATGTACTTATCGAGTTGAAAAGACCAGTGTCTCCCTGTCTCATTGGATTTTCAGAACTTCGGAGGCTAAATCAATCCAAAAGGGGCTGGTCCTGGTTTCAAACGCCAAATGAAGAGAATTGCAAAGCTTAGTGTGTCCACTAGTGTGGTTTCCCAGCCCTAGGTCTTGCTGTTAAGGACTGGTTCTGCCATGCATGGTCAATGCCCACCTGCAATGCCCTGTTGCCCAGTCTGTGGAGAGGTGCCCACACGGAGTTATCTGGGTCCACATCCACGTACCCAGCTATTCTGGTCAATCATAGCACAAAGACAGGTTGTCTGTGTCCAGAGGGACACATAGCCTCAGCTACACCAGCCCCCACTTACGTGCTTGATGGTCATCGGCAAAGACTCTCTCCCTTTAGGAGGGTTCTCCTTGGAGCCTTTCAGCGTCTTGGCAAGAAAGAGATGGCACACACAAAGCGCTGATTGAAGATAGTTTAATGAAAATATTTACGGAGGTTAGGCAAGGGCACGGAAAACAACAGGGAACAGTAAAACACCCAGGGATGGCCAGGCAAGGTAGCTCATGTCTGTAATCCTAGCACTTTGGGAAGCCAAGGCAGGCAGATCGCGTGAGCCCAGGAGTTTGAAACCAGCCTGGGCAACATAAGCAAGACACTGCTTATCTACAAAAAATTAAAACTTTTTTAAAAAATTAGCTGGGTGTGGTGTTGCACGCCTATAGTCCCAGCTACTCAGGAGTCTGAGGTGGGAGGATCACTTGAGTCCACAAGTTTGAGGTTACAATGTGCTGGGATCACAGTACGGCACTCCAGCCTGGGTGACAGAGAGAGATGCTGTCTCTAAAAATTAAAAAATGAGAGCAAACTACCCAGGGACAGGCAGGCCACAAGCCATCACCATCTCAGCCTGAAGAGACAAGGAGAAGGGTCTAGAACCCAGGGAGAGCCATAGCAATGGAGAAGGAGTAAGCCAATGAAAGCCCTGGCCACAGGGGGAGGATCAAAACTCCTGCGCAAACTGCAGCTCAGTAGGAAGACAGCTGGGGCATAAACGCCTTGACCTCTTGCCTCCTGCCCTCCAATCTCCTGTCTGGGTCTTCCACTGGCCAAAAAGAACAAAAGCTAAAGGTCAGGGGACCCTGGGTGATACAGTCTATACCTGCAGCACCCTGGAGCAAAAGACGAAAAACCAGCACGATTCATCCTATTACCACTTAGCAGGCATTCACCCACTTTGCTTAGATGGGAGAAAAATATTTTGTCCCCAACGCAAGGAAAACATAAAGCCTCACCAGCTGCCATATTGTTTGGGAGGGTCATAGCAATTTAGACCCACTCCCACCTGCAACTTAAATCATCATGTAGCCACTCCTGGGCACGCGGAACACTTCCTGTAAAGCACACTGCTGGTGCCCCTTTCTGTGGCTACTCATGGGGCGCAGAGTGGTGACTGTGGTCCTGTTCTCCCATCATTCATTCCAGAGCCCCTCTACCTTCTGGCAGTCCCTTAGCTGTCAGAGAATTTTATATGGTGGAATGGCGCAGATGTGCATCCACAGAGGATCCAAATTCTTAGTGCCCTGTCTTTATTGAGTTGCCACAGTAGCCACGGATTCCTCAAGAACATGAAGAGTCCTTGAAGATCTCACCTGGAAGCACTGTAAAACTCTCAGAAAGAATAACAGCTGCTCTAAGACAACACTACTTCAACTATAGTTTAAGGATGGACAGCACTGGCGTCTCTGGGGAGCTTGGTAGAAATCTAATTTCGAGCCAGGCGCGGTGGCTCAAGCCTGTAATCCCAGCACTTTGGGAGGCCGAGGCGGGTGGATCACAAGGTCAAGAGATTGAGACCGTCCTGGTCAACACAGTGAAACCCCGTCTCTACTAAAAACACAAAAAATTAGCTAGGTATTGTGGCGCGTGCCTGTAATCCCAGCTACTCAGGAGGCTGAGGCAGGAGAATTGCCTGAACCCAGGAGGCGGAGGTTGCGGTGAGCCGAGATCGCCCCATTGCACTCCAGCCTGGGTAACAAGAGCGAAACTCTGTCTCAAAAAAAAAAAAAAAAAAAAAAAAAAAAAAAAAAAAGGAAATCTAATTTCATGCCCCTACCTCGGGCTTACAGAATGAAGACAAGACATACAGTGAGTACCAAGAGCCCTAGTGAATCCCTGGGTTCCAAAGCTAGTCCTCCTTGGCCCTATTGCATAGCAGAAACCTCACTTTCCCTTGGATATTGGGGTAAACCATCCTGACAGTAAGGTGATCCCTCTCTGCCTACTGTTTCAACATAAGGAGCCCCAGAGGGCACAAGACCATCTTCCGATTTAACAAACCCCTAACCGTATTCCCAGGTGGAAGCAGTTCTTGCTCACTAGAGCGTTCCAAACCCACAAAAGCTGAGGTTTCTTGGTTAAATGCCATGTTTGTGGGATATGCTGAGATGAGTGTGCTACGATTTGAATGTGTCCCCTAACATTCGTATGTTGGAAACTTGATTCCCAATGCAATAGCATTGGGGGGGGGCGGCGCAAGGAGAGATGATTTGGCCATGAGGGCGAAATGAATGATTAATGCTGTTATCTTGAGAGTGGGTTTGTTATGAAAGGGGGAGTTTGGTCCCTTTTTCTCTTGCCCATGTGATACCTTCCTCCATGTTTATGATGCAGCACGAAGGCCCTCACCAAATGCCGGTTCCTTGATCTTGGATTTTGCAGTCTTCATAATCATAAGCCAAATAAATTTCTACTCGTTACAAATTACCCAGTCTGTGCTCTTCTGTTTTAGCAGCACCAAATGAACAGAATGAAACAGCACAAATGGCAGGGAGGGACAGGGATGGCAAATCCGTATCTGGATGTGTCTATTCCTACTGCCCTCCGTAAAGAAAAGGACTTAATGAAATTAATCTGCTACCAAGTGGCTGTTCTTTCTCCCACCACCCATCCCGGGAATGGAGCTATATCAGGGGCTTAGCATTGGTCTCCTTCATTGGAAGGCTACATATCCAGAAGTTATGGAGACCCGTGGACCTTAGCAAGGGAGAGCCCATAGTGTTGATAGCCTCTATCCCTTCCACTACGGTCACTTTGTTCACGATGTCATTGAGCAAACACCAGAGTAGACAGAGGAAGAGGCTTACAAACACAGGCTGAGTCATCTTATCTACCTGATGACCAAGAGCCTTTTCTGCAGTGGATACCCTCTGGTAGATATTTAGATGGTCCTTGAATATCTTGACACCCAGGGCTCCTTCAAATAGGTCTTTTCTGGACCCTCTCTCCCCATCCTGTTCAGTTGGATGGATACTGTGATTCTCCTATTGGAGATGGTTCGGAATTCCATACAGCACCCCCATTGACAACAGACACTTCCAGTACCATTGGATCTGCTGATCTTAAGGTTCAAATGGCAGAGTAGCTTTCATCACAGATCACAGTCTGGGTATATCTTTTCTTTTCTTTTCTTTTTTTTGAGACGGAGTTTCACTCTTGTTACCCAGGCTGGAGTGCAATGGCGTGATCTCGGCTCACCATAACCTCCACCTCCTGGGTTCAGGCAATTCTCTGCCTCAGCCTCCTGAGTAGCTGGGATTACAGGCACGCACCACCAGGTCCAGCTAATTTTTTGTATTTTTAGTAGAGACGGGGTTTCACCATGTTGACCAGGATAGTCTCGATCTCTTGACCTCATGATCCACCCACCTCGGCCTCCCATAGTGCTGGGATTACAGGCTTGAGCCACCGCGCCCGGCCGGGTATACCTTTTCTAGAGCCCTTTATTTTTCTGGGCTCCATTCAAAACCAGCAATCTTATGATGTACCCAGTAAATGCATCAGACACACACATAAACGTTCTATACTTTGCCTCAAAAGTCCAGAGATCCATCAACTGTTGAGCCTCTTTCTTTATGGTGCAAGTCACAAGTTGAAGCGACATATTTCTCATCTTAGTGGGGATATTCCAAGTTCAGACTGCTAGAACCCAAGAAATTTCCCCAATGTGGCAGATCACCGAATTTCCACGTGTTTTTTTCCCTGCTCTGGCAAGCACGTGGCAGTATGGCTCTTGCTAGTTCTCATTCACCAGATCCAATTAGCATAATGTTATCAATATAGCAGACGATCATAAAGTTCCATGGGCTGTCAAGATGACAAGGGTCTCATGTAATATGACA